TAAAAAAAAAAATAAAGCAAGAAAGCAGACCAAGGTCTTCAAAGGTTAATTTGCTTGTCCAAAGTCACACACCCACTGGTCATTCACCAGATCTGATTGGTACCTATTCAGATGCCAGGTGCTATTCTGGACAGCAATGGGCACAAGACAGCAGGACTACACTTCCCAGCCTCCCCTTGCAGGAAGGTGGCCACATGGGTAAGTCTCGCCCTGGGGAATGGAAGCTATCTTGTAAGGCATATAGAATCCAGGTTGGTTTTCTTCCCAAGTCAAGAATTAGAACACTGCTAGGACCAGAAGCACCCTGTGTACCCAGAAGCACCTGCCCCCCCCCCCCGTTAGAGATAGCCAATGAGCTGATTTTGCAATAATCATTTTCTGGCTTTCCATATACCTTCCTCTGCATTCCTAAACAACAGATGGCTTCCTATTCCTGAGCGTCAAATGACTGGATTCATAGTTCTCCTTGTGTTTTGCTTATCACTCAACATGTCTATAAGATTTATCTGTACTGTTGCCTGAAAGTGGAGGTACTCTCGCTGCAGGATATTATTCTATTATAGGGATGCACACTACTCTACCATTGACGTTTGGGAGGTCCCCAAGCCTTCCTTATCATGAACAATACTGCTGAGAAAATTCTCGTCCATTTCCAATGACACACATTGTGCACAAGTTTCTCCAGGGTAGATGTCCAATGAAAATGAGCAGTTTTTTGTATGCTCACTGCTCATTTGTGTACTCTCCTCTCTCTCTTTGTGTTTATCTGCAAAACGATTTGTATTTTCACATTTTCTATTCGTCTTTTTCTTCTTGTAGTTCTTTATATTTCCTGGACGTTAATTACCTTGGTGGTTAAATTGTGCTGCAAATACGTCCTTCATAGCTCATCTTCTATTTTCTTCATGGCATTTTTCAGTGGATAGAAATTCATAATTTTTAACATGCTCTACTTTATCTCTCTTTTCTTTAATGGTTTTAACCTTTTTGTGCCTTCAGATATCTTTACCTACCCTGAAACCCAAAAGCTAGTCCTTTCTATTTTCTAAAAGTTTCAAGTTGTTTTTTTTTTTAAATTTCACTTATAAATTTTTAACCCATCCAGTGCTTTTTTCTATATGGTGTGAGGTAGAGCTCCAGTTCCACTGTTTCTGTCTGGATAACCAGTTGTCTCAGTACCATTTATTTAATAGACCATCCTTGAGTTGGTGAATCAGCAATGCCACATTTCACAAAAATTAAAATTTTTTTGATATGTGTGAATCTGCTTCTGGACTCTCCATTCTGTTCCACTGGCCAATCTGCCTAGCCCCGCACCAACATGACACAGTCTTTAATTCCTATAGCTTTATGATAAGTATTTTGATCTAGGTAAATCATTCAAGGGTTCTAGGCTAGAACCTTAAAAGATGGGCTAGTCCCACCATCCATTGAAAAACAGGCTCAAAGATGGAAAGCATCTTTTTACAGTGTCACACAGCATTTAACTAGGAACACTGTTAAGGGCTGAATGGTTCCCCCTCTCCTTCCCCCAAAATTCATATGTGAAAATCTAATTTCTGGTGTGATGGCATCTGGAGGTAGGATCTTTAAGCCATAGTTAGGTCAAGAGGGTGGGGCCCTCATGAATGAAATTAGTGCCTTATAAGAAGAGGCCAGAGAGTAGCTCCTTCTCTATCTACTACACAAAGATACAGTCTGTAGCTCATAACCCAAAAGATGTCTCTCATCAGAACTCAACCATCCTGGTACCCTGATCTTGTACTTCCAGCCTCCAAACCTATGAGAAATAATTCTCTATTGTTTATAAGCCACCCAGTTGATGATATTTTATTAAAGTAGCCAAAGGAATTAAGACAAATGCCCATCTCTTGCCCTGGAAAGACATTCCTGTGCTATTTAATTGGGCAGCCACTAGGCACAAGTGGCTATTGAGAACTTGAAATACAGCTAATCCAAACTGGGATGGGCTGTGGGTATAAAATACACAGATCTCAAAGATTTGCAGTGAAAAGAGAATATAAAATATCTCATGGATAATTCATTTATATTGATTATATGTTGAAATGACAACAGTTTGCATATCAAGGATTAACTACAATATATTCTTAAAATTAGTTTCACCTGTTTTTTAACCTTTTAATGACAATGAGATAGAAAATCAGTCACACATTAAACTGAAGAGCTACTAAAAAATGTAGAACTACATATGTGGCTTGTGTGACATTTCTTCCAGATAGCACTGGGTCATACTATTAAATTCACTCAATCAGGAAGCCTTTATTAAGAACCTAACTTGTGGGCTGCACCACAGTAAGGGTGCAGAAAGGGAACAGAAATAGTTCTAATCCATGTGCTTCACTTCCACTGGACTCATTGTAGAAACTGCATCAGCCCAAGCACGAAAGGAAAAAGCTCTTCATCCAGACCCTGGCCCAGATGGAGAGCTCTATCCCAGTTGGAGAGAGCATTACCAGTGTCCAGATCTACAGATCATTCAGACCAACCCTTACAAATCAACCAGCTGAGGTTCAGAGAGGATGAGACACCTACCCAAGACCACACAGCAAGTGCAGGAGAGGCAAAGGCCCATAGCACAGGCTTTATAGCTCCTTTCCTGCATGTTTGCATCTATGGCCTCTAGTCCAGACTTTGCCTTCCCTTCCAGCAAACCCTCCACCAACTTATTGTACTTCACAATAGCAAGCCTTTGAAAGTCCAAGTGCCCATATCAGAGAAGACTCTGGATTTGGACAGCCAGCCCTTCCTACCTTCCAACCCAAAGAAAACCCACAAGAACTCTTCCATGTGTCTCCTTTTCCTTTTTTTTTTTTTATTTTTTATTTTTATTTATTTATGATAGTCACAGAGAGAGAAAGAGAGAGAGGCAGAGACATAGGCAGATGGAAAAGCAGGCTCCATGCACCGGGAGCCCGATGTGGGATTCGATCCCGGATCTCCAGGATCGCACCCTGGACAAAGGCAGGCGCCAAACCGCTGCGCCACCCAGGGATCCCTGTGTCTCCTTTTCCAGTGGGACTCCCCAATTCTATGAAGGAGAATTCACAACTCCCTCCTCCCCCAGAAATGAAGGCTAAGACTGAGCAGTTAAAGCCCAGTCCTGCCTCCCCACCCACCCCACCCAGCCTCATGCCATTTTCAGCCTAGACATCTGTGATCAAGCTTTGCCATTTGACCGGAATTTGGGAGACCTCAGGGGGACAGGGACTCTCAGCAACTGCCAGGAGACAATGAGCCACATAGATGCAGGTATCAAAGTAATGTCAGTCCATCTCAGACTCACCACCTGCATACTCCACCCAGAAGCAGGAGACCTGAGGCAGAGAGCTAAAAGTCAGCAGGGCAGGCTGGCCCCCTCGATGCCCAGGCAGGAGGCAAAAGTGCAGCTTGTCCTCCCCTCAAGACCTCTAGGGGCTGGAGGCAACTTCAGGAAAGGGTTTTCAAGCTAGCTTTCAGGCAAGCAGACCCCACAGAATCCTACAGGAAATTAATAATGATAGACCTCCCCCATTTAATTTGTAATCAATGCAGCAGGGACTCGCCTTCCACTCAGCAATCCAGTGGGAATATCTGCCATCACCATTTTAGAAGAAACAGGCTCAGGAGTGACCACAGACCTCACACTGTGAAAAGGTCAAGAAGTACAGGCAACTCTTCCTGGGTCCTACCCTCAAGTTTCTCCACCTTAAAAGAGCACTTAACTCGTTCCTCCAGCTTGTTCTGGGGGTGGTGAAGGCTGGGGGGAGGGGGAGGAGCCGGGACGGGGGCGGGGGCGGTGCGGGGAAGGCGAGGGCAGCGCTGGGGGGGGGGGGGGGACACCGCGGGTGCATGCTAACACCGCTCATCATTAACAGAAACGCCCGAGAAAAACTGAGCGATTCCTCTGCTCCGGGCGCCACGCAAAATGCTTCGCAAGGTCCCCAGGGATGGGGGCGTTCGTTATCCCCGTTTTGCCGACCTGGAAATCGAGGTTCCGGGAGGTGAAGCGACTCGCCCCAGGGCTCGCCGCTAGGAGAGGAGGCGCTGGGAACCCGCGCTACTCCCGGATCCGGGGCGCAAAGCGGGGCGCGGACACTCACAAAAACCACGAAGTCTCTTTTCTGGTTTCTTCCGGCCGAGGTGAGGGTCCGTTTATCAACTCGAATTCCCTAGGCGGCGCGGGGAGCGAGCCCAGCGGCTCAGAGCTGGGAGAAAGCCTTGGCCGCCCCTCCCCACTCGCACCCCTCCCCAGGCGTCCCCTCCCTGCGCGCCCCTTCCCGGGTGTCATTTTCCCCGCCGGCCCCTCCCCGTGCCGTCCCCTCCCCTTCTCCCCGAGTGCCCCCTCTCCGAGCGCCCCCTTCCCCGCGCGCCCCTCCCCTTGCCGTTCCCTCCCCTTCTCCCCGAGCGCCCCCTCTCCGCGCGCCCCTTCCCCGCGCCCCCTCCCCTTCTCCCCGAGTGCCCCTCTCCGAGCGCCCCCTTCCCCGCGCGCCCCTCCCCTTGCCGTTCCCTCCCCTTCTCCCCGAGTGCCCCCTCTCCGCGCGCCCCTTCCCCGCGCCCCTCCCCGTGCCGTCCCCTCCCTTCTCCCCGAGCGCCCCTCTCCGCGCGCCCCCTTCCCCGCGCGCCCCTCCTGGTGCCGTCCCCTCCCCTTCTCCCCGAGTGCCCCCTCTCCGAGCGCCCCCTTCCCGCGCGCCCCTCCCCTTGCCGTTCCCTCCCCTTCTCCCCGAGTGCCCCTCTCCGCGCGCCCCTTCCCCGCGCCCCCTCCCCGTGCCGTCCCCTCCCCTTCTCCCCGAGTGCCCCCTCTCCGCGCGCCCCCTTCCCCGCGCGCCCCTCCTGGTGCCGTCCCATCCCCTTTTCCTCGCGCGCCCCCTCCCGGCGCGCCCCCTTCCTCCCGCGCCCCCTCCTCTTGCGGTCCTCTCCCCGAGCGCCCCCCTCCCTGGAAGTCCCCTTCCCCGCGCGTCCCCTCCCCGGGTGTCCCCGTCCCCGCGCGCCCCCACCCTCACCTAGCGTACTTCGTCTTCTGGAAATCCAGGAGCCGGGGAGCGAACATCGCGGCGATTCCATCAGCACCCAGCCCGGGGCTCCGACCAGCGGCTCTAGGAGGGAGCACGGAAGGGAGGGAGGGAGAGAGGGAGGCGGGGGCGCGGGAGCAGCAGGTAGGCGGGCGCGGGGCGGGGGCCGGCGGGGGGCGCGCGGAGCCCGAGCTGGCTGCGAGCCGAGCCTGAGCCCGAGACGCCGACGCCAAATCCCGAGCAGATGGTGGCGGGGGCGGGGTGGGGAGGGGGGGCTCCGGGCCAATCGCCTTAGTCCCTGCGGCCTTGGCCCCCTCCGGGTCCCCGGAGGACCCCTCCAGCAGTGGCTGCGCGGAGGAGGAGGGAGAGGGAGGGATGGGGGGGCTTCCGATTGCAGCACCCCCTCTCCCGGTGTGCCCTCCTCCCGTAGTTTTCGGAGCGAGGCGACAGCCTGCTAGACGGAGCCCCGCTGCCCCGCCTCCCCCACCCACCCCCATCCCCGGCTGGGGCTGGGCTGGAAAGGGAGAGGACAGTGCTGGCGCGCCAGCCATTCAGGCCCCTGGCGTGGCCGGCGGGGAGTAGACTTGTAGCTAGCGCTCCCCCCGCGGCAGCGCCTCCTGCCTCCGAGCGCCTGCGAGGCGCGACGGCCCCAGGGGATCTGCCCGGGAATGGCTGCAGTCTCTGGGGAACCTCTCCACTTCCAGAGGCTATGACTCTAGGGACCCTCACGACCCCCAGGCAGGGACACACGCATTTGGCTGTGGGATTGCAGCGTACCCAGGATCTGCCCACCCCTCTCTGATCTTGTGCAAGATCCAGCTCTCTCCTTTAGGAGATCTTGGCCCTGGGTTATGGGCTTTGGGAAAGCACCCACGGGAGCAGATGACACCTTTGGGGGCTGTGGGAGGCAGAACAGATGACACCTTTGGGGGCTGTGGAAGGACAGAGGACCAAACTGAAAGGCAAGCACCTCCTTCTCCCTTTCCTCCTCAAACCCCAGCTCCTTTCTATTTGTTATAGCAACTTTTTATTTGAGATCCTACTACACATCCAGAAAATAATCCCACCCATGGCAAAGTGACCCTATGGAATTCATTTCTGCCCTCCAGATGTTGGGCGCAGCCACTTGGCGGGCATTGGTGTTGGTGGGGACTTGCAGGTAGAAGTATTCACAGGCTGCAGAGGGGCCAGGGCAGGTTGGAGGTGGGGACCAGGAAAGGGATCTAGGGATGCTTATGAGGTAAAATCCACTAGACCCTGCTGATGCATTAGAAATAGAGGGTGGCCACTGGGCTTCTGGCTGGCCCTGCTGGGTGGGGATGTGGAGGGAGGAGGAAGAGATCAGAGGAGGAGCTGCAGGGAGGTGAGGGAAGATGTGAGTTGGGTTTTGGCCAAGTGATCTTGAGGTCAAGAGTGGAAGTCTGGGCGTATAGAATGTGATGGATCAGAGAGTCCCCTAGGGCAGCCAGCCCACCCTGTGAAGAGATGCTGGGAAGGAAGAGCTGGAAGGTCCCTTGGAGCTGCAGGTTTTGAATTGCTCATCTGGACTTACCAGAGCGGCGACTTCCAGGATGATAGCCAGCCACCAGCCTCCTGCGTCTGTTTATTTCTACATTAAATAAAAGGAAATGCAATTTGAAATGCAGCTCTTTGGTCATATAAGCCACACTGCAAGTGCTCAACAGCTACATGTGACCAGTGGCTGCTATATCGGACCATTTCCAATACCGCAGAAAGTCCTGTGGGGCAACATGGCTCTAGAAGATCAGGAAGTCAATCAGGTGGGCAGTGAGCAGCCACTGGAAATGAAACAGAGAAGACATCCCTTCCAGAGTGCATGGTGCCAGGGGAGAGAAAGTCATGTTCAAGAAACTTTTGTTTCAGTTGTCTTATATACATTTTTTGTGCTGGTCAGGATAGAAAATGTCTTTTTGCCAGGGGTCATGGTTAAGAGCGGGTGAGGCTCATGGCTACAGGGAACAGGGGACTGTCCCAAGGTCACACAACCAGAGGAGCTGCCCTGAAGCCCAGCTTCCCAGGCTCTGAACTCCAAACACGCATTTCATGGCCTCTTCTCAGACCTTTTTTTTTTTTAATTTTTTTTTTATTTATTTATGATAGTCACAGAGAGAGAGAGAGAGAGAGAGGCAGAGACACAGGCAGAGGGAGAAGCAGGCTCCATGCACCGGGAGCCCGACGTGGGACTCGATCCCGGGTCTCCAGGATCGCGCCCTGGGCCAAAGGCAGGCGCCAAACCGCTGCGCCACCCAGGGATCCCCCTCTTCTCAGACCTTGATCTCCATCACCATTGTTGTGACCCCGTCCCTAAGCCTTATCATCAGCCCCACTAGGACACACTGTCCCCAGATGCCAGCGATACCTCCTCCTCAGCCCTCAACTTTAATTCCCAAAAAGGTCCCTGCTGGCTTTCTAAAAGTGAAAGAGATCAGAGGCCTGATCTCCCTGAGGCCCCTTCTGGGGAAGTCCAGGGCAGGCCTGAGGCATCAATCGTTGACCACAGCTGCCCAGAGGCTGAGGGAAGCCACAGGTGTGGGAGCAGACCTCCCCAGGCTGCTGGCTCACAGGCCTCCTCCCAGCCCCCAGCCAGCCCTCGAGGACCTTCAGCTTGTCTTGGCCACAGGCTCAGTCGGGCCCCAGAGGAGACCCCTGAAGGGAAACAAACCTAGAAATGGATTTTCTTTTTCTCCAAGAACAAAAAAAGTTGAATAAGAAATAAGTTACTATTTTTACTGCTGAGATCCAGTTGTTATGGCAACTGAGGGCCTGACTCCTGCTTGTGAAGGAGACAGGGTGGGCACCAGGGGTGGCAGCAGCCACTGGACAAACCTTGGGCTCCTGATCCTGGGGCCTTCCAGGACCCCACCTCCCCTCTCCTCTGGTTCTGCCCCCCTCCCCAACAGAAGTCCACCTGTGCCCACTTGACCATGGCCAGTGCTCCCTGACGACTTCTCCCTTTAATGCAAGCCCACCTCCTGCTCACTGCATGGTCTCAGGACCCCCAAGCTTGTCACTGAGCCTGTCCATCACCACTCCTGGGAGGGGGTCACTGTGGCCTCGTCTCCAGATACAACCTACAGCCCCTGCCATAGCAACCACTCACGATCACCTGAGTGCCCAGCCCCCCAACTGCTCCTGGCCAAAACCCAACTCATCTTCTCTGGGGCTCTGCTGCTACTCCTCTGACCCCTCCCCATTAGGCCACCCCATACACCCCCTGGGCCAGGCTGGCCATGGCTGGGAGCTCTGAAGGTAGCCTTCCAGGATCCAAGATACACCTCCACCACCATCTAGCTTTGTGCGCTGAACCCAGGTGCTTCCCACTCAACGAGGCTGGTTTCCCCACTTAAAAAGTGGAAGTAACAGCACCTGCTTTGCAGCTTTACCAAAGGAATAAAGGCAGCCTGGGTCAGACGTTTTTACTGGAAATGTGCTACCTCCTTAGTACCCTCTGTAGCTCTGCACGAGAGGAGATGTTCCTAGTTCATGGACAAGGAGCCGTTCTCAGGCAGGCTGTCCCACACCAAGCCAACAGACCTACACCTATCTCCCTGAATGGACACTGATTATGCTCTTACTATCTTCCTGGCTCTTTGAAGAGGAAGAGTGGCAAGCAGGGAGGGAGAGAAACCTCCCCCCCAACCACCCATGCTTTTCACCCCTTCCCTGGAGCCCTGACCACATCACCAATCCCCTCCCATGAAGCCAACCTCTGCCATCCGTCCCCAGGACCCCAGGGCACCCTCTGCCTTGATTCTCCTCCCCCCTCCTGGTGACTTCCGTCCCCAATCAGTAGATATGACACGGGCATCTACTATGTGCCTAGCAGTGTCTGGAAACAAAGTCCCCATTGTTTCAGCCTCGCCAGGCCACCAACCCTCCCTACCAGAGCGACTTTCTGAAACACAAGTCTGATTAAGTTCCTCTCCCTACAACCCTTCAGTGGCTCCCCTTGCCTTCAGGATAGAGTCAGGATAAAACAGCCTCACCCACACCCAATAAATGAATCCAAACAGACTCCCCAAATATGTATGGCTTTCTAGAACTCTGTGACTATGCAGATGTTATCCCCTCCACCCCCACCCCCCAGACATTCTTCCTCAGGTTGTCTGGCAGGTCTCTATTTCTTTTTTTTTTTTTCCAGGTCTCTATTTCTTCTTCCTGACCCAGTTCAAAGGTCTCCTTTGCAAGAGCTTTTAGGGAACTGTCTTCTCCTTCCTTTTGTGCCAGCTCCAGGGCCCCACAGAAACATCCCGTCCATACCCACCAGCCAAACACTGCCTGATGACGTACCTGCGGGGAGGCTTATTGACTGGTTACAGGGGGGAGGAGGGCCTACCATGGGGAACCGAAGGCAGCTCCTCCAGGGAGGTCAGGAAGGACTTATGACAGAATTTGTATTTGCCTTAAGTGCTTGAGGGAGTTCAAGGAAGTAGGATTGTGCTTTTATTTTTTCGTTTTTTTTTTAAGATTTTATTTATTTATTCATGAGAGACACACACAGAGAGAGACAGAGGCAGAGACACAGGCAGAGGGAGAAGCAGACTCCACGCAGGGAGTCCGATGTGGGACTCGATCCCAGGAATCCAGGTTCATGCCCTGATCCAAAAGCAGACGGCCAACCGCTGAACCACTCAGATGTCCCAGGGGCTGTGCTTTTAGATATTCTCAGGAAGCAGGACTCATTCTTGATGGGATATCTTAATAAGTCTTCCCTAGAATGGGGAAAGTGCAGGGTGAGGGTGGAGCTGTGATTGACAAATCAGTGACAATCATTTGATTAGCCAGGAGAGTAGAGATATTTGGTATTTTTGTGCTTTGCACAGGGACCTTAATTTGGTCTGTGGTTAGACAAACTTTCAAGCTGGTTTTGCTCTCTGTCTCACTGTATCAGGGTCACAGAACAGCGTTGTCAGACATGGGTGGACAGTATGTGTCGTCAGGCCAGTTCCTGGCTGGCAAGGGGGTGGGGGGTGGCTCATTGTCCTTTCTCAGTCCTCTGCTGTGAGATCAACTTCCAGCCCTCCACCTCCTAACCTTTGGGGA